AAAAAAAAAAAAAAAAAAAAAAAAAAAGAATATAAACTCCAAAAGGCCCAAGGGCACCTGGATTGTCTGTTACCACGGACTTCAGCTTGTACTCAATAGAGTTTACTTAATACCTCCTACTCCCAAACAGTGACAGGACTCTCAGAGCAATTGCAGTTCCTGCCTGACCCAGGCCAGGGCCCGGTGCCTGCAGTCTCTTTCTCCTAACCAGGCGGCGCCCTCCCCATGTCATCCTTTCCTTCAGCTTCCTTCTCTCCGCCAAATCCGCAGCCTCCCGTAGACACCTCCCACACGTACTGCACCGCAGCCCACACACCTACCCATGCCAGGCTCATCTCCGAGTCTGCATCCTTTTCCCGTCATCTCACACGGTGACTGCTTTCTCCCCGCCTTAGCCCGCTTCCTCTCACCTGTCACTCCTCCTCCCCTGATGGCCCTTTTCATCTGTCCAGGTCCCGCCTGAGCCGCACACAAGGATGCAGAACCAAAATCTTGCATTTCTGACTCCTCAAGTGTACAGACTCAGACAAAGCCCAAACCCTCTTTCTTCCCTAGAAAGCAAAATGAACGAAGGCCCTTGGAGGTTCCAATTCCCAGACCAAGCCTCAAATCCTGTATATTCTGGTGATCAGGGCAAATTCCTCCATGCCAGCCAGTTTCCCTCACCATAGAGCAGAGGTCTTCCTTTGCCTTTGATGACTGTAACAATTAAATGACGTAGTGAGTCTCACACCGCAGGGAGCATCGAGCCGAGGCTGTCATCATCGCCGTGATGATTGCCATTGTCCTTATTTGCAGCCTGACTACTCTTGAGCTAGCTTGGAATGTCCTTTGTGGGAACCGGGGGAATGAGATGCGGGATGAGGGGGAAAACAACAACAACAAAAACGCAATGGCCCGGTGTGCAGCACTCTGAACGAGGCCACACCCAGCACACTGACCGGTCCCTGTGTCTGGGGACTTGTAAAGTATGCAATATGAAGGTGCAGCTGGAGGCGGGGCCGGGCGTCAGGCAGCCAGGGGCTGCCTGTCAGGATCGACCTTGCACTCAGCTGCGGAGAACCAAATCCATCTTGCACCAGTCGCAGTACACTTTTCCTGTGCCCTGTGGACGCCCTGCTTGCCAGGCAGCTGCCGTCTTGGCCAGTAGTGGCCAGTCTTCCCTCAGCCCACAAGTCACAAGTATGTCCACACAATGTGCACAGAGAGCACACTCCAGAGGTGTCAGGAATCGGCTGTGGGGCCCCGTGCCCTGTCCTGTGGGGCGAGGCCTAGGTGACTCTGACAGTGGCTCAGTGAAGAGAAAGGAATAAAACTGGAGAAAAGAAAGCCTACTAAAACCTCCCCCTACCTGCCTTGATCCGTACCTTGAGAGGGCCGTGAGAAAACAGACTTCACCAAGAGCGGTCTGAGCGGCCTGTGGCCCTGCTACCCCTCTCTCTGCTGACTGGCAGTACTTTTCTTTCTCCAGTAACTTCTGCTGTGTTTACTGATAGAGTTTTACTCACGAGCCTCCACTCCCACTCACGGAGGTGCCCTTTGCCTGTTTACGCTCACACAATGCCTGGGGAGGACAACTGAGTCCAACATCAAACTCACCCTTTTCCAAAAATTTAACTGTAACAAGAGGCCATGACATTCACACAAGAACAGGGAACAACCCCAAATGTCCAACAAGAGAAGGAAAACTAGATTGAGGGATGTTTATGCAATAAAATATTGGCAAAAACAAACGAACTGCTGCGGCCCATGTCAACACGGATGTCTCAAAAGCGTTATGTTGAGGGGAAGGAGGAGGAGCCACAGATGAACAAATACATCTGTGTCTTCACACCCATATGAAGTTCAAGAACAGGCTAAACTAGTTACGGTGTAGAAATTGGAATATCGGTTGCCTCTGGGTAGCCTCAGATGAGGATAGGATGCATTGACCTAGAGAAGAAGAAGAGAAGGGAGCTTTCTAGGTGAGGGATGTTCTGCTTGGACGGTGGTTTGAGGATGTATACATAATAGAATTCGCAGAGCTGAAATTTGAACTTGACCACGCTCCTGAACATAAACAAACCCCAAACAGAAATGGGAGGAGGGGCTCCACATTATTTCCCAGGTCCAGGCTTCAAGCCAGCTTCTTTGTCAGCGTCTTTAACTTTAAATCATGCAGCATGTGGTGACCCCATTGCCAGGGTCTCCTGTATTCCAAATGTCTGCACTTGAACGGGGCCTGCCTTACACGGTTTGCTGCAAAAAAGGAAGCTGAGAATAATTTAGAGTTTTGCTGAAGATGCAGTTGAGACATGTGGAATGGTTCCATATACATGAACACTTCTGGGTATTTTATTGCCTAATAAGGAGGCAGTTAGACATTTCTCAGCCTTGGAATTCCTGTCCAAGCAACACATCGGGACCAAGGAGGGTCTGTGTTATCAGTGGAGGAATCCTGTTTACAGCGGAAGGGTGCCCTGGAGCCCGCCTGGTAGTTGGGCCTTCAGAGTGACTCAGGTGATTGATGCCATGGTTTTAATGGCTAAGAAGCTGTCTGGGCTCCAGCTGGGGCTGAACCTCCAGAGCCTGAGTCCAGTGCCTCTGGGCCCGTTGGATTCCGTCCTGACCTTGCTACCCATTTCCACTTGCGAATGTTCACCTCTCCTCCCCCACCTGAACTCCCCCTGTTCTCCACAGTGCCCCTCCTTCCCAGGAACACACGGAGCCCTCACCCCTTCTGCTCTATCGGACACCACAACAGCCCTGGGAGCTTGGGCGGGAGCTGGCCCACACCAGGGACAAGGTCAGTGTGGACGGGTCAGGGAGGCACCAGAGAAGTCCACCCAGGTGGAGAGGGCAGAGCCAGGAGACTGCTGCATGGCTCCCTGACACTCATGCCCTCTGGCCCACCTCCCTAGATGGTGCAAATCCTCACCCACTTCCCCCAGAGGTCTCTGCTTGTTTTTGCCCAAACTCTCTTTGCCTCCTTGTATTTTTGCAGTGTCTCGAACTGTTTGCACTGATGCCAGTCCGTCCTATTATACCTGGGAGATTCTCAACTCTTTGGAAATCTGCTCCTGCCTTTGAGTTCCACATGGTACGTGGTTCAGGGCTGGGCTGATTGGGGGCTGATTTGGGGATGGGATGACTGATTGATTGATAGATTGAATGAGTGAATGGTTTGTGTCCTGCTGTTACTAATCTACTTTATGAGTCTTCTGGGCACATCTGCCTCCTGATGAAGTTTATTCTCGCCGCATTCATTAAGGATGAGCCCACTGCAGCAGTTCTAAATAATGTGAAGTGCCTGCTTTGGAAGCATCCTGGCTGAGCCCAGATCCCAAGCCTGAGAGATCCGGGTGGAAAATGTTAAGCGGCTCCCACAGAGCAAACACACTAGGGAGGCTCTGTGTAGTGACAAGTAAGTCATCAGCATTTGGGTGAAGGCAGGGACACGGGAGGAGTATGAGAAAGGCTTTTGCTTAACTATAAGGTCATTTTGCTTTCATCAATCTACGGACTGTTTTCATCCCCAGAATTAGATAATAAAATGTGTTGCCCAACTAAAAATACAGCAGTGAAATGTCTTTATCACACAAGCACGGCTTCCCAATGGTCAGTGAAGAGAGCTCAACTGATTTCTTCAGTAACTTTGTTTGGAATCTGGAATTTGTTCCCTACACTCATGGATGTCTTAAATTCAGAGTAAGCCCGGAACTCAGTGGTCCCTAGGCAGGCTGGCTTCCAGCCAGTTGGGGGGAGGCTGAAGAGCTTTGGGAGAGGAGGTGGAGAGGACCCCAAGGAGCAAGCAAGCCCTGTCCAGGAAAGTGGGGGGTGGGGTCCTGGAGGTGAGGGGCAGACGGCAGGAGGAGGAGGAGGAGGGAGGAAGAACTGGCTCTTGTCCTCATAGGACAACATTGCTGGTGACCTCTGCTCTCCTTAGATGGCGTGTGTCCAGGGCAGTGCTCACTTCCAGCTCACACAGCTCACTGGAGGCGCCACAACTGGCACACCTGTGTGACGAACCCTTGGTCAGGCTGCCAGGCGTATCCCTTGAGGGTGGACTACGGGGATATGATTTATCCTTTTTGCAAATTTGCTAGATGGAACCATTCAAATAATGCTTTTTAAAAACACTGTGTGCATGTGTGTGTGGCTGGGCGTGGAACCCAGGGCCTCACACATACTACCAAGTGCTCTACCACTAAGCTACAGCCCCAGTCCAAAAGGCTTTTTTATATCTGTGTATCTGGCCAGAACTCTGTGGAGTGGACAGAACCTTTTGGCTCACACTGCCCAAGAGGACACACTGGGCAGCTGTGCCTTCGGATGCACAAAAGTGGCCACTAGTCAGCCACAGCCCCCAAGGCTGCTGCTAGGCCATGGCTGCCCCTTTCCACAAAGGAGGTCCTGAGCAAGGAGGCTGCCCCAGGCTCACTGGACTCGTGGCGGTCCTGCCTTTCATCACTATGTCTTCTCATCACTGGGACTGGGACTCCAGTGGTCTCAGAATAGATGCTCACCAACAGGGCTGGCAGAAGCGGCCGTGGCATGGACGCAAACCCTGTGGACACCAGGTCTTCAGGGCTGGCCGCAGAGGCAGCTGCCTGTTCCGTGGGAAGAGATCCCAGAGATGAAACAAAGATGGCTTGTTTGGGCCAAAAGACCTGGAGAGGGAGGGTCTGGGATGAAGGGTGTCAGGTGTCACAGCTCTGAACACAGATCATCCCGCAGCTGAGGAAGTCCTGGTGGGGTCAGCGTTTGGTTGCTCAGCTGTGCTCAGGCAGGAGGGCCGGCTCCCCACCCTGGCTGAGCTGGGAGACTGTGCTGTGCTTGGCTCTGCAGCCTTGGGATGGGAAGCAAATGTGGAGGAGGTCAGGAGAGAGCCCTGTGCAGGGAGATGGGCTCTGTCTCCTCCTCCACCGCTCTCTCTTTCGCTCAAGAAAGAAACCAGGAAGAAGCATTCTGTTTTCCAACACTCACTGATCTTGCATTGGCTGGAAGAGGCCCAGGCACGAAGGCAGTGAAAGGCCGTGTGGACAGAGCCCACACTCTGGTCACTGTGCACACAGAAGAGACAGTGTGGGCCTTCCTGTGCTGTTACTGACCCTCGTGACTTCGCCTCCCTCAGCCTCAGCCCGTCATCCTGACTCAGAGTGGGAGTCTGGCCCATCTGAGCTCCGGCTCCACCTGGGTCCCACTCCTCTTGTCACCCTGTGGTCTGCTCAGATACCCCAACACACCCACCTCAAGGCCTCGCATCCCTCCTCCAGCAACACTCTTTGGCAGGATCTTCACGGGCAGCCACTGCCTGGGGCAGCAAGAGCAGTAGAATCCTAGTCCCAAGCCGGAGGTCCTGCCTCAACCCCCATCTGAAGGCCCATGTAGCCAGCACCTCTCAGGCACATCACCTTGCTGTCTTCTTTTCGTGACACTGACACATCTTGAATTTCCACATTCGCTTATGGTCTTCCTTTTTGTTTTCTGCCCCAGCCAGCTCTCCTGAAGTGTACCCTCCATGCCTGAAACATGACAATTGTTGAATTCTTTACTAAATGAAAGGTTATGCTGAGGGTAAAATTTATACGAGGTACCACAGAGGCTGTGTGCTTGTCAATAAATATCCCCCTAATTGTGGTTGTCAGTTGTCCTGATTCTTAAGTTTCCAGTTCTATTATGAGGCCCGGTTCTCTCACTGAGGCACGGCAGTTGCTGGCTCCTTGCCTAAGTCGGCCACGCCCCCAGTCACACTGCTCCTCCAGTGGGGCCCCTAGCTGGCCTCTGCTGCTCTCAGGCCCTGGGAGGCTGTGGGAGCTCCCAACCAAATAGCCAGTTCTGTGATGTGCACCCCGAAAGCTCTCAGTAGGGAGTAGATGCGAAGTAGAACGACTGTCAGAATGGTGCTGAAAGACTGGCTCTTGTGGATGTGGTTTTTATGGTATGGTAGCTGTGGTTAGCTATAGCCTAGCTTGGCTCAATTATCCTTCCCAGCGAGAACCCTGAAGGGCTTTGCATGTATGAAATACTTTAAAAATCACAAAAGGTGGCACTGTATTATTCTTGAACCAGTGTCTAATACCTCCTGGCCCAGAGCTCTGCAGGTGGAAGGGAGGCCCGAGCTTAGGCACAAGAGGTTGTAGCTCCCTAGAATCCAGTTTCAAATCTTACTCTGTGTTTGACCCTCGGGCAGCCCTCTCAGGGGCACCCCTTGGTCCTCCCTTGCCTGATGGTGACAGGAACTGAAAAGCATCACGATGATGACATAAGACAAACTTGGCAACTGTCTGGCTCAGACATCTCAGAAATGAGTTTCGCTTGCCTCCCTGGGTTAGCCTCTTATAGGAACAAAGGTGCCGCCCAGGGGAAAGGGGATCAGGAATGAGTGGCAGAGGAAGGAGGCAACGAGCACCAGCTGTGGCCTGTAGACCAGTTCCAGCAGCAAGGTGTATTGCGCGTTCAGGAAAAGTGGCCGTGACAATCCTGGAGGGGAAGAGTAAGCAGGTCAGAGCGCTGCGTGCATGAGGTGCAGCTGAGGCTCCGGCGCACTGGCCTGATTCTGCCTATAGACAGAAACACTCAGTGTCCCAGCTGCCACAAATGCTGGTGGTCCAGAGATGCAGGTGGGTCCTTTTCTGGGTACTGCCTTTGGCTCACTTACGATCAGGCTTTTCCCCAGGGACAGTGCGCACCCAGTGACTGATGAATGGCAGACACAAACTCTAGGAACACCCGCCTCGAGGCAGGACAACTCCAGGGGCAATCCTAGATCCAGAGTTTTCCACTCCACAGGACTCACTGGAGCCTCTGCAAAACTTCCTTTTTGGCTCTTTGCACATCTTGATGTTACAGGCGCTTCCTATTTTTCTGCATGTGACACACCAGCCCAGAATCTGTTGTTCGGGGAAATTGACTTTGATAACAGCTACCTGCTATTCATCTATGAATTCAGCATGAAATTATCCACCCACCCATCCCATCCAGCCCTCTATCCCAACAACCTTCCATTTATTCACTCACTCATCCATCCACGTCTATTCATCTTGCAGCCCATCTATTACAGTGTCCAACTATCTATCCATGCAATCTTTCAACCCTCTATCATAATAACTAACCATACGTGCAACTATATAAATATTTATCCATTCATCCATTGAAGCATCTGACATTCCATTTTTCCGTTTGTCCTTTCTTCTATCCTTCCATCCATCCAGCCAACCAACATCCAACCGGTAGACGTTTAACCTTTCCTATCTTCACCCACTCACCCATTCTACTTAATACAAATACGTATTTTTGTATCCACTGTGGACTCTACACTGTTCTGTGGATACAGTGGTAGATACAAGACACCCAGCCCTCCTGGAGCCTTTTCCTGGTGATAAATCCAACAAATATTCAGTGCCTATTTTATGCGCCCCCCCCCCATAAGACCACAGCCTGCAAAGGATTCCTAGCCTAGGAGAGGAGACAGTTGCAAAACAAGCAACTGACTCATACCTGGGATTGCTGAGTGTCAGAACCTCTAGGCGCATCGAGAAAGCCCCCTGACCTCCACTGGCAAGTTCAGGAAAGGTTTCCCGGGAGAAATGATATCCAACTTTGGAAGGGTGGGTGGGAGGGAGTCATGTAGAAAGAGCAGACCAACCAGGGGCATGGGCACTGATGCTCTGCCTAGAAGCAATAGTACCACACTGTGGAAGGGCCGTAAATACTCGCTGGATGACAGAGAAAGACAGAGACTGTAAAGCAATGTCTGGCACCAGGCCAAGGTCACATTTTTAATAGAGTGAAAGGATAATAGAAGACACAATAGTGTGTCTATCTGTAAAATGGGTGGTGGTGCCTGCTTCCTAGAGTTGCAATTAGAATTATAGCTCTTGAAACACTGGTGATCTGGCACTCGATAGTACTTCACATTATTGTTAATAATTATAATTATTAATAATCTATCAGGAATAACAAATGATACAGCCATCATCACCATCAATGATATCTCTTGTCGATGGCTTTATGATTTTCATAGTTGAAAGTCATTGCCCATGATGTTTTCCTGCACCCAGCTTTGTAAAAGGAATTTGCTCAGGGAACCATGAGGGGCCACATCAGCTTTTAATTTTTCTTTCCCTGTAGGACAGCATCTGAGAGAAGCCAGTGGCGCTCAGGCTGGAGGAGTCACGAGCTTCCGGGAGGACCTGCCATGTGCTGGCCTCACGTTGCTGAGCAAGTCGTCTTCGGGGACTGAAGGACAGCAGGGCCACCTGACAGGAAGCAGGCCCCGGTGCTGCTTCAGGAGTGGAACATCCTACGCTCCCTTCATCATGCTGCTGTGCCCGTCACCCATGAATTCTGCTGAAACCTTCTGGGAAATTGTTTATATTTTCAGCTGAATGACCCTCTTGGGGTAATGAGTTTCCATAACAACTAATGGGTGGCCAGCATGCTTCTGCCCTAGACTGGGTCTCTGTGCCCTGATTCGCATCAACAGAGGCTGATGGCCCCTTGAGTGGTTCCTGTTTACCATCTCTGGCATAATGGGTGCAGGTGGGCAGGAGCACGGGGCATGACCCCAGAGAACCAGCTGCCCCACCACGTGCCAGCCTGCAGCAGAGTGGAGGCAGCACCTGGGCCCTGGCTTTGCCTCTGTACCCTCTGACGGGACTTGTCCCACCTGGGGGAGATGGGAGCATCCGGAAGCAAGCAGGAAACTTACAGAAAGGGTTTCTGGACCAAAGGGAATTGCCCAGCCCCATGGTCACTCCTGCAGCCAAATAAAGGGACCAGCTGAAGCAGAAGCCAACAAAACCACAGATCGAAGGGTGTTTACTCTGCCCGGGGACCCTCACGGTGAGCAAAGAAAAGGGCAGCAGCTCCAGGGGCAGGAAAGGCCAGGGTCCGTGTCCAGGACTGAGCCCAGGGACTCCCGTGGGAGGGGAAAAGGATGGTAAAGTATTTAAATATGCTGAGACAGGACGGCAGGCAGCTCAAAGGAGTGCATCCAGGAGCCTGGGAAGCGCCAGGCAGACTTCCACGCCCTCCACTTCACATCGGTGGCTCCAACCCCTGCTGCCTGCCTGGAGAATGTGTGTAGTGCGTAGCCTCAGCCGGAAGGTTCCACCGCGGCCCCGGCCCTGCGCCCCACCGCAGGGCTCGGCCACTGACAAGGCCAGGGCCGACTCCCAGAGCCCAGTGTGACACAGGGCCCTGCGGCAGCAGCTACCTTCTTCTTAGCTCTGAGGCTGCCTGAAGGTGCCCTCAGTGAGGGGGCAGCCAAGACCCCACTGCTAGCTATGGGGGGAGGCACTGTGCTGTGATCACCCTGTTTGTAAAATGAGGATCCCGAGAGAGCAGAACCCCAATTCGTGAAATACCATGGCTGAGACAGGCCAGAGAGGAGCAGCCAGCAAACAGAAAGACAACAAAACCCAGACCCGGAAAAGGGCTGTGAGGGGACTCACATGAGTGGTGCTATGGTGAAGGAGAGCAGGGCATGGGGAAGTCAAAGCTGGGCCGAGAACCAGGGGCTGTCAGTGGTCCCGTAAGAGTATCGGGCAGAGGAAATAGCATGGGCAAAGGCCCTGGGGTGGGTGCTAATTTGGAAGGTACCACTGGCTGGAATGTGGCTTTGTAGAGTGGCTCAGGGGGGGCCTTGAGGCCCAAGTCCTAATGCTGGGTTCCCAAATGAGTGTAGTGCAAGCCACTGGGCATTAAGAGCAGGAAGGGCAATTTCAAGTCCTGCCCCTGCCCCCGCACTTAATAGCAGGTGCGAAGGCTGAGGGAGAGGACCCTGAGGAGTCTGAACGGGCCACTCTGGCAGAACTGGGCTCTGCGAGGTTCTGGAGAGCTGATGTTCAGCCAAAGACAAGCCTGGAGCCTGGAAATGGAGTGAGCTGGCCAAGTCCCTAGGACCCCACCAGGGCTGCCAAGGACTTGCCATTTCCCTGGCATAAAGGCCGAGCTCAGCAAACAAAGGTGAGGGGAGGCGGAAGACTTTCTGTGCCTGTCTTAATTGTGCCGAAGTGGAACAGAAGGAAGAGGTGGGTAAGGATGGCGGGGAGTCAATGAGCAGCCTAAACTGGGCTTCTAAAAGGAACACCAATCTGTACTCTTCTCAGGAAGAGGGCTGCATGTGGCCTGAATTAGTCTTCTGGGCGATTTGGTTTTGCCTTCAAATCAGAAAATCGTAGTTATTATGGCCCTGGGATTGATGGGCACAGTGGCAGCTACAGGCCCACACCTTGGCCTCGTCTGCCGGAAATCTGAGTGGAGCGAGGTCTCGGCCCCCACAACCACCATGGCACCACTGGGGAGGAGCAGTGGCCAGGAGGGGTTGGCAGAGAGGGCAGAGAGGGCAGAGGGCTGAGTCCCAGCAGCGGGGCGACTGCGCATGGCCAGGACTCGGCACAGCAGACACTACTGCGGCAGAGACAGGTGCCCCGGGGCTGCTCAGGAGCCCTGCAGCCCTGCCCAGACACAGCGTGCAGAAACTCAGGCCATGAGGACCTACTGGTCACCCACAGGCTTTGTCCTTGGTCCCCTAAGCCTTGCAGATGGCCCCTGATTCACGATCACCAGAAATGTTAGAGATTTTTTAAAATTTGGCTGGGGGTAACAACTCCTACGGCCACCTAGCGGGAGGGGGATGGTGCCACCCCCTTCCCCAGAGCCTGCAGAACACTGCCTCTCTACCCTCACCCTAACTTACCCTGCCTCCCAAGCCCAAATCACCGACTGTTTTCTTCATTATTTACTCTAGTTCCGTGGCCTTTTAAGTCACCAACAGCTCCAAGAACAAAACCAAGTCCCTAACATGCTTTAGTCTTGTGATTTGTTGAGTTGAAGTCATCAGATGCTAATAGCTGCTGGTGTCCCCAGGTGCCCTGTGCCCTGCCCTGCACCTCGCTTCGGTCCCTGGAAGTGGGGGCCCCTGACCATGGCCAGCCCTGCTCAGGCAGCTGTGGGCTCTCTGCCCATGCCACCCTACTGGAAGTATGCATGATGCTGCCCTCCCAGCATCCCCCCATTGGCCAATTTTATCAAGGCCCACTTGAGCAGGGAAGGAATTTGTGAATAAAATGTTTAGAAGAGAAAAATGAGCAAGAAGACATTTTTGCCACTGGTCCTGCTGTGGTTTTACCAAGAACTAAGTTCACGCACAAGTCAAGTCTTCCCTGTTAGCACTGTGCTCAGTTCTGGGAAGCAGCGAGGGCAGGTGGGGTGTGACCGCAGTGCGACTGTACCATCTACAGCAGGGCCCCTGAGCCTTTCTCATTCACTGTCCTCGACTGTGGCAAGGGTTTGCAGCAGCCAAGCCACAGAGCACTCTGCCCACACAGAGGCAGAGGCATGGAAAGGGGTGACACTCGAATAAAGCGCCTGATGCCATGCTCTCCTCACCTAGGATGTCACCAGGAGGGGGAGGCGTAAAGGATGCATGATGCTCCTCTCACTGTTTCTGAAACATCCTGCCATAATTTCAACTTAAAAAATGTCGGGGCCTTTCAAAGGCATGCTAACAGCACCCATTTCCTAAGGTTTTTAGAAGGGATTTCAGAGAGTGAAGTCCACGGTGAGAGCCCAGTGCTGAGGGCCAAGCCTGGCATCCCTGTGCGCTTAACAGATGGGCTGTATTTTTGACCCATCCATCAGTTTAAGATGTGAGAACACCTCTCCTCATTAGAAGCATTCAGAAAGTCTGAGTGGTGTTTGTAGCCTGACTGTTGGGCTTGGCAGAAGCGAAACTTTTCCTTTCTGTGCCAGTTCATTTATTCTCAAGGTTAATTGTTGCTAATTGCACTGCATGATTGCCAGCACAAGTGTCAACACCAGCCCAATTAGACAAGGACTGGTGGTTGGTTCCGTTAGGTGGGCTGGAAGCAGACCCCACCGGCAGAGAAACGAGACTAATGAAGTCTTAGTGGGGCTGGGGCTCCAGTCCTGGGCGGCACTGAGCTCGTGGGTTCCTTGTTTCCAGCCCCTTAGGAACGCAGCCTTCCTCCCACGTCTTCCCTGTGCAAAGCAGCGCCTTCCTGGACTCCAGTGAGGCTCTGGCTCTCCCTCAGCCCTCGAGGGCAACAGGCAGCCTCCACTGGCAGAAGCGACAGCCCTGCCCTGCATTCACGGTCATGGGCAGGAAGTTTCTTCACACATCCTGGGTATCACGGACAAAATCCAGCCCCGACTCGACCTCAGATCCCACTACTGCTATGTGACCTGGTGCGCGGTTCTTTACTTCGCTGAGGGGCCATCTACAGACTGCTGATTAAAACCCCTGTTTCGGGGGCAGCTTGGTGAGGGGGACTGTGAAAGATTCAAAACGTGCTTTACCTAAACATGTGCATTCTAAGGACCGGAGGTGTCAGCGCCTGGCATGGACTCGGAGGGCCCTGGCTTTTATGCAGGAGGGGGACACTGCCCAGCTGTTTCATGATCCTTTACCTTTTATCCCTTTTTCCTTGACGCACCTACATCCCAGATTAGGAACACAGACCGGCCCAGTGCTGCAGGCAGATAGAAATAGAAGCAGACGATTGCATATCAAATACCCTCAATACTATGGAGAAAGGAGCATTTCACTCCTTGGAATTATAATCACAATTTTAAAAACAACTTCTGGGGATGGCCAGATGAACTTCCTGCTGCGTCTCTCTCCCACTGAGGCTGGAGGCTGCTCAAAGGGAGAGAAAGCCAGCACATCACTTTGTGTCATTAGGGCAGCCGGGGAAGGTGAAGAAACTGGTGCAGCCATTTCGGCTATTAAAGCAGGAGGAGTCCCTGATTGTGCTTACAGTGGGGAGTTGGCAAGGGGAAGGCAACTCCATTAAACAAAAGGCAAGACACAGTAGAAGTTTGGAAGGAGGGTCGATGGATAAAATGCTGCTTCCAAAGACAATTCTGTCCCCCACCCGGAGGCTGCAGAGGAGCCACATCCAGCATGAGCTTTACAGCCCCAGGCGGGGCCTCCTCTGGGTAATAAAGTACGCTCTCTAATCAGCATTGGCGTGGTCTGCAGGTCTGCAGCATGGATGCCCATTTAGCAAAATCACTGAGTAGTGGAAAACGCAATTGAGTTGCATAATGAGGCCGAGTAATTGGATGGACTGGGCAGCATGTCCAGCTGAGTATACTTAGTCTGGCATATTAATTAAAAACTTGACACTTCAAGCGCCGTCCAAAGTACCCCATTAATTATTCCTTAAATCCAAAGGTCAGATGTATTGGATGAATTCCAAGACGATGATAAAATTGCTCAACTCTGGAGCCACTGTGACCAGAGTTTCTTTTGCACCGAGGCCCTGGACTTACCTGGAGCTTTAGCGGAGGAGGAACAGCAGCCTTCTCTCCCCCGTGTACTGCACCCTGCACCCGGGCCACGGCTTGGTCCTGAGCATGCACAGGGCCCACGCCAGGTCTGTGCAGCACCGCTCCGTGAGATCTGCAGGCACAGGCGACTCGAGCAGTTTCCCCTAAGTCAGGAAGTAGCAGGTGAGCATTCAGACCCAGGCCTTGGGACTCAACAGCATAGCAAGGTTCTCACTTTATTAAAAGAAATTTTGTGCTTACAGCGGAAAACAGGAGAAGTGGCAAAGCCCCTCTGTGATCTAGCAAGCTGTGTGATCCTAAGCAAGATCACCTGTCAGTAAGTGGAGACAACACCACATCTCTGGGACTTAAAACTCCAGAGAGGAGCGGGACAGTGGGCAGAGGCAGCCTTGCCCACAGCAGGCTTCTTCCTCAGGACCCCTGCATGGCACCAGGAGCAGCATTGACCTGGGCATCGCTGTGAGGCTTCCCAGAGAGTCCACCTAGCTCACATCCTGAGATGGCAGCATGCTTTTCCCGACCTCTGCGTCCTGGTGCCGGGAGGTGCGCTCAGGAAGTCTGAAGCTAGACCGGGAAGGAAGCTCGGCCCACTTCCTTCCACAGGTGAGCAGAGAGGCACAGAAACTGGATTCGTCACCTACTCAGCCAACTCCGAGGCCTTAGTGCCCTCCAGCTCTGTGCCTCCTGGCCTGGGGTTGCTGGAGAGAAGTGGGCACAGACTTCAGGCAAAATCCTGAGATGGCGCCAGGTGACGAGGGCCAGCTGCCTCCTGGGAAGAACGCACAGTGATGGTGTCCATCGGCATTAGCCCGGCTGCACCCTCCCGGGGTCAACGAGTCCGCTCCCAGGAATTCACCCTAACATGCAAAGATCTTAGCAGAGCTTAGCGGAGCAAAATGTTTGCAGCCCCTCACACCCAGCTTCTAAAGCAGAGTTCACGACACACAGCTATCAAGGGTGCTGATCTGTGGCATGTGTCACACGGCACAACGCTCTGGACACCCCCTGGTGTGAACCGAGTGAGCGCCTCACGGGAGCTGTGGAAAGATGTCAAGCACATCCACCCAGGAAAAAAGCGAATCCACATCGGCACCCACAGAGGAACATAAGACACATACATCGCTGTGTGCAGATGGGGAGACTTCTGGAAAATGTAATGTTGGGGTGAAGAGGGTAGGACAAACTTTCTTTCTATTGTGCCTCTTTCAGTTGTGAGTAATTTATTTTTGTACTATCATGAGCACGTATATTTAAAACTAAAAAGTGTTTGGATTTCAAAACTTCCAGGGTCAGGTCTAAAGCTTTTGGGTGAGATGAAATTCCTTCTCTCTTCTAGAACAGGCCCTCCAGCCTCACCTCGGGGCTCTGAGAACCACAGGAAGCCAAATTCCGAGGCTGACAAATGCCCATCCGTGAGCAGCCTGGCACTCGAGCCTGTGACAGCACAACTATTCATTTAACTGATGGTCGCTGTCTTCATTCAAACGATACGCCCCTGTTAAAAACGAATCCCCATCGATTCTGTCACCGTGACAAAGTGCACCTGTGTTTATCCTTCTGCTGCCAAGGCCCAGGGTTCAATATTTTGCTCATTAATTTATAACACCTTTTTAAAACTGGCGGCTTAGGGAGGGAATCAAGAGGCCGGCCGCTTTCCCAGGCATGCAGCCTTCCCGACTGTGCTGGAAGCGGGTGGAGACAGCCTCCGGGCCTTGCTACACTGCCAGGCCATCCCTGCCCAGCCCTGCAGCTCTAGAAGGGACCACCCTAAGTTGCCCGAGCTTCCGGCCGCCTGGTCCCTGTCACACTCACCTGCCCTGGCCTTCAGGGGTCTTTCAGTTCCCAGCTTTGATCCTTAACAAAGTCTGTGTGGGTCTCTGTCAGTTCTGTTTCCGTGAGGATCTTCCGTGGCTTTCTTGTCCACGAGCTCGTGGCCCCGGCATGTCCGCTCAGTCTTTCGTGCACTCCTGCGTCCATCCATCCGCTCACTCATTATCACGTTAATCGCTGACCAGCCAGAAGCTCCCACCGATGACCTCACCCCGCTGCTCTAGCGTATCCCGGATGTGGCCTTGGGGGAGTGCCGGGGGGGAGGTGTCCCATCCCGAGGCCCAGCGCTGTGCCATATCACAGCCTCCATGTTTTTCACAGAGCAACCCAAGCCCACCTCAGGATCCCACAGGGCACCGACAGTGACCCCCCCCCAGCAAACACCTGGCCCTCTGCGGGCGTCTTCAGCCGGGTGCCTGTGAGCAGGGGAGACAGGGAGGGGTGGGGGAGAGAAGCCGAGTGGAGAGGGAGAGAGGCAGTGGGGCAGGGGCGGAGGGAGAGGAAGAGGCCCAGCGGGTGGGAGAAGGGCTGCATCCGCCATGCACACAATGGTAAGCTGGGAAGAGGAAGCCAGCCTGGCCCCCACTTCCCCAGTGGTCAAGTGGGCCTGGAGCTGGGGGTCGGCGAGGCCGTGGCCGCATTTCCCTCCTGCCTTCCCAGATCCCAGCAGTTACCTGGCAAAAGTTCCTGTGCTTCTCTGGGGCCATCTCAAGCCCTGCAGCTGGCAGATAACAGCCGTGACAATGGGAGCCCTCGGAGCTTCTGTCCTTTCTCCCCATGTGCACTATTAATCATGACGCAGAGGACACTAAGGGCCCCTGTGGGGGAGGCCGCATGGCCACGTCCATTTTTCACACGCACCGAGGTTCCATCTGCTGAGCGGCCCCAACCAAAGGTCATGCACTGAGCAGTGGCAGAGCCGGGGTCCCACAGCCTGGACAGCACTTAACGTTCTCTTGCTTCTACTTTGGATCCCTCTGAGGTACCAGCACAGGGCTCTCTGGACCCTGGAGACCTAAAGGCAACAGCAGACACAGGAGCACATGGGACAGAGCGTGGCCTTCGCCTCAGGAAGGGCTGTGAGGAAGCCACTCCAGACCAGAGGGGCTGGCCTGGCTCTCTCAGGCCTACCATCGCCGTGGGCTCAGAAGTGGCAAGAGCCAGGCCCAGACTGGGTATCCAGGCCCCAACTTCATTAGGTATTGTATGTTGGTACAGCTATTCTGAACTGGGGAGAGGACGAGCTTTTACCACAGAGGGTATAGATCCGATTTTGCTTTTTAATTTTAAAAGTTTCCACTCATTCTAAAAAGCAAAGCCAAAGTCTAAAGCGGGGATATTTAGGCTGAAGCAGGAAGGAGTGTCGGGGGTATCCTGGGCTCTCAAGCAAAAGGAGGACAGGGAGGAGCTGCAGCTGGGCCCCAGCTGGGCTGTGATACAGGGGCGGTGACAGCAGAGGGACACAGCCCTGCACGGTTAGAGTAAGGCTGGGCTTGGCCTGGGGTCCACATCCCAGCCTTGCGGCCTAGGTAAGTATCAGAGACCTGGTTCCTTGTCCAGCAGGTGAGGACATGGCCAGGACCCCTTGAGGAGACTCAGGGCCCTCAGAGCACAGGAAAGCAAGGGCTGAAGAAGGCAGGCATCTCCTCAGAAGCTTCCATCCATGCTGGGCCATCTGCATCCAGGCCTTGTGGGTCACCGGAAGGGAGCAGAGGGCTCTGACTGCCGTACTGCAGTAAGTCCGTTCAGTAAGTCAGGCCACGGTTGCTGGGCCATCATGGGCAACACAGAGCAAGGCAACCCTTAAGCTCCAGGCCGACAGGTGTCCCGCACAGCCAGTGAGCCACTGTCAGAGGGATAAGAACACCCATGGAAATGAATCCACCTCACATGCCCATCTGCCAGCCAATGCATCTTGAGCTTCCCTTAGGGCTGCCGAGAGCCAAGCAGGTGTCCACGTGCAGGAGCGATCCATCTGCTTGGACCCCCACGACCACACTGGTCCTCACCCAGGTGCTGTTGCCCCACCTACAAGATCAGGCCGCTACAAACCCCTGGCACTCCCTCCTGGCCTGTGCACCCCTCAGTGAGAAGCGTGTGGTCTCCCCTTCCCCGTTCCCCTCTGTCTCCCCCAAATTGCCCTTTGAACCTCTTTTCCTGCCCCTCCAGGTACACAGCTGTAAATCTTTAAATGCCTGTGATCAGATGGGGACAGCAGCAGGCAGGCAAGAAGTTTTCAGAAGGCAGCACCTGGCCCTGAGTGCCGTCCATTGCTGCCACGTGGAGCTGCAGGGCCAATTACCCCGTTCTTCAAGAGGAGATGGACGGGGGAGCTCTGAAGGTGACTTTCCACTGGGCACCTGCAGCACATCTGCCCAGAGCTGAGGACAGAGCCCCAGTGAGCTGCCAAGACTGGGCAGGGAGAAAGCAATGAGGAAACCAGGTTAAGTGACTTCACAGAAATGACCTATCCAGCTGCCAGCCGCAAGAGCAGCAGAGGGGCAGGCGAGGGTAAGGCACGGGGTCCCGGGGCCTCTTAACTGTCTATCCCTGGATGAACCAAGAGTGACCCAGACAGGTAGCGTGACTTGTGCTCCTAAAAGGCTGGAGAAAGGAGTCTCGCCACCAAGTGAGGTTCCATCAGCTCTGCCATCTTCTCCGGGGAGCAAATTGTCAAAGATTCAGGTTAATTCCAGTGGTGCCAGCCCCAGATCTCTTTGCTGGTTTCAGGTGGGGATTAGGTGGATAAACAGCTCCCACCTGAAGAGGAAGGCAATGGTGTCTGCATTCTGCAGATGAAAGATTTCCAGATAGGCCCCCTCCTTGTGACTGCCATGTTCCATTAGGTAAAGCAAGTTTAAACCATTCCGAGGCCTCAGATTGTGAATCGTTGCCACAGTTTCAGAGCAAGACAAGGCTGTTTTTCTTGTTTGTTCCTTTTTCCTCTTACACAGAGTCAACCATTTGACACCTCACCTACCTGCTCTCAGGATGGGTCTCAACCCCTCCTGGACTCAAGTAGCTTGCTACTGGCCTCATTCAAGAAGGGCAGAGATGCAGGCCTTTACTTGGTCAGCTTTTCTCACCAAGACTAGCTAAGGACTTCCTTGAGGTCTCACTGTTGTATTCCCCAGGGGTGCATACAAAGCCCTCATCCTGGAGATGTTTGATGATGGGTGGATGGATGGGTGGGTAAGTGGATGATGCTCTAAGAGGAAGAAAGGAAGGAAGGATGGATGGATGGGAGAAAGAAGGGAGTAAGAGAAATGGATGGTGGAAGGAAGGAGGAAAAATGAGAGGAACGATGGGTGAGTGCATGGACTGGTAGATAGGACATTTACAGACGTAAGGGTGACATTAAAGCACCAAATTGCAGTGTGCAAATTCTTCACCTGCATAATAAAAGTAGCACTAATAGCCATGAGTTGGGGATGAATACACCTCCGCTGAACAAATGAGAAGCCGAGGCTGGCAGATGAAGCCAAGTTCCCAAAGAGACTGGCCCTGGATCCCACATCCTCACCCATCCATGGGCCAATGAATCCCTGTCCCACAAAGCCCAAGTCTATTCCAGGAGTCAGACGGGCACTGAAGACATAAGGGCAGGGCTACTTCATCCACTAGCTACTGCTGGGTCTCATTACACAGGAGCAGAGAGAGGGTAGAAGAACAGACTTCATGCGCCAGGGGTGGAGAGGACCAGGATGACTCCTGGATTCATGGTGATTATTGACTTTGCTTTGATTGGCTCAGCATTGTTGAGATAGCTGGGAACAGTGTCCCGGGCCAGTGAGTTCATCAAGACCACGGCCTCTTGCAAGGGCATCCTCTGGTGAGGAATTCCCATAAAAGAGGCCATAGCAATTCTGCGGCTGCTCTTGTTTGAGTCCCTTTGATCACGTCTTCAGGAGCCGGGCAAACTTCTGGGTGGCCACTGAGGGCAGGCCCTTGGCTTCCCTGGTATGTTAAACAGCTTGCCTGCTAATGGGCCTGTGTGGCCTGAGACCCATCCCACGGAGAGGAGCAGATCGTGCCGCGGTGAACCTGATGCGCAGCTGGGCCGCCTGTGTGGACAGTGACAGTGGCCTAGGGCCCAGAGCAGGCTCCACTAAACTCTCACCTCAGCATTTCTGCCCTTTGGCTTCTTCCATACTTGTTTAGGATATAAACCAATCCCTGGAAAAGATGTGAGGCCTTTCTGGATTGCATTCTTAAGGTCTGCTTGGAAAAACCCAGGGCTCAAATAGGAAGCAGGACCTGGGGCCGTCTGCTGCCCTGCTCCTGTCTGAGGCTCTGGGTGCCCTAGAGCGTGAGCACCGTCTGAGCCTGCACCTACTGACAGGGCAGCCCAGGGTACCTCAGGACTGATCAGAGACCTTGGAGGAGGTGTGGGTGGAGGCTCAGGAAGGCACTGCTCGAGAAACACCAAAGTGTGTGGAGACTCGCTTTCCAAGTGAAACAGTACGCACAGATTCCCTCTACCAGCAAAAACAATCTTCCCGACCTCCGGATGGCTCTTGGGAGGGAGAGGTATGGCAGCCCCAGGAGATCCATGAGTCCTCAGAGGCACAGCCAGGTCACTGGACTGTCGAGGGGTGGGGGCCTCTGGGCTTGCCCTGGAGGCCACGGCTAGCAGCGGGTTGGTGAGTGAGTCAAGGGCACGGGGGAAGGCCAGGCACCGTCCTCTGCCCACCCCCTTTCCAGGAAGTCAGGGTCCATTCATTCACAAAACTAATCCCCCATGCCCGGAAGGAGTGGAGCCGGTGACCGAAGCATGGCGATGCTCACAGCTGTGGGCACCAGCCTCGCCGAGAGGTGCTGGCCCAAGGGACTAGTGAGGAATAGAGTCAGGGGGACTTAAGGCCGCAGGAGCTGCACGGGAGGCCTGGAATCTAGAGTGCAAGGCTGTTCCCCTTGCGATGCGGAGGGGCACTGAGGAACGACTACCTCAAAACGAGTGTGCACTGCTACTGGGCAACCAAGTACGCGAGTGGCAGAGGGTGGGAGCCGGTGTCCCACTGTCGGGGTGTGATGGGCAAGCGAAGGAGGCTGGAGGGACCCAGGTGGCGATGGAGCAGAGCTGACAGTGCTCAGGATGGGCTTCAGGACGTGAAAGTACTGATAGCTCTGTGTACCCACGGGGCTCTGTGCGCACTGCAGATCTCCTTACCCTGCCAACCAAGGTGGCACGGCCGCCCCTGACCGTGGCTTTAAGGTCCTCCTCCACCGACGTGCACCAGGCCTCTTTGGAGAAGCAGCTGATGGCAGTACCAGGAGAGGAATACGCAAGATGGCCTTGGGATGGATTACTGTGCCGCAAAGCAAGGACATGCGGAGACACATAAAAGTAGTCTCCACCCATGAGGCTGAGCGTAGGTGGTAAGGACACAGGTGCCAACTGAAAGGGTTCCCAGTGGTCAAAGCTGGAACAAGTAAACACATGAAGGATTATCGGATCATAGCCCAAAGTAAAAATAAATACCTATGAGACCATACTGATTAAATGGTTGAATAAATAAATGAATTGGAGAGATGGGATAAATCTCCCACGCAGAAGAACTTTCCAAATAGTTTATGTAGATGCCCTGCCCTCAAGGAAAGGGAGAGTGGCAGCCTGCCTCTTCAGGGAAGCTGCGGGTGGCCCCCTTCCCTAGAGTGTAACTCAGGACGTGGCCTAATCTGGGGGGACCGAGGCTCCGCCGGTCCTTCAGCCAAGATCTGACAAGAAGCAGGAGTTAGGTGACTGTGTGAGTGGAGGTGGAAGGGTCGGAGAGCACTGTGGGCCCAGGGACTGGTTTGAGCTAAGGCTCCGGGACGGGAGGAAGCACAGCCTGTAGAAGCAGCAGCCAGAGGGAGGGGACAAGATTCACACTAGGAAGCCTGGTGGGAGTGGGGCCCCCAGGAGGAGCGGTGAGTGCACAGCAGTGCTGTGGGGAGCCTGGGGCCCAGCCTCACCGATGCATCAAAAGACTCGGGAGGGTGAGGAGGGTGGTTGGGAGTACAGGGCTATGGCTACTTACAACCATCGGGGCAGGGTTCGCAGTTCCAACCCAGAGCGGGCATTTTCCCAAGTGGTGTGTTTCAGACCCTGTGAGCCACACGGTATCCGTCCCAATCACTCGCTGTGCCACTGTGCCCAGAACGTGGGCCATCCGAGCACGAACAGACAGTGTGGACACATTTGTGGGCACTGACATCTCAATCTCTTTCATGGTTTATGTCACAAAGCCATCTTTGGTTTGTTTTTCTTCAACCTCAAAGGCGCATCAGAGTTGGTTTTTTGGCCCAAAGGCCTTGAGGGGCCCAGAGTGGAATCCAGGGAAAGTCTGGAGTACAAGCCTCGGGCATTTAGCTCTCTGGTCTCCTGGTGCCTGGACCTGGGGAGTCTTAGGCTCAGATCACCCCCTTGAACCCTCCAGAAGCCTGCAAAGCAGAGGCAGAGGCTGGGCTGTGGGTGCCACTGCCTTGAGCTGGGGCAGCTGTGTGGGAAACAGCGGGGAGCTTGCCCTGAGCTTCTGCCTTTGACTCAGCCTGGTAGGAAAGGCTTGGGGCGGGCAGGACTTCGAATTGCTATCCCCACACAGCGCTCCACCTGACCATTAACCTGAGAGGAGGAAGGAGGGAGGCGCCTCCACTCCCAGGAAAGTTTTACTTGGCAGCTTCCACAGCACAGCTTTCTTGACAACCACAGGAGGGTGTCACAAGCCACGGGGCACCTGGCTGAGGTGAGCAATGGACGTAGGAATTCCCAGACAGTGACACATCATTCGGCCGCACTGGGGAACTTCGAAGACAAAGGCGCCGTGTGAATACACCGGTTGCGTGCCCAGGAAGCCACCCATGCTGGTGATGTCGCTGTCCGTATTCGTCAAGGCACTGACACACACTCAGAGGCTTGGAACCACACTCAGAGCTGAGCTCTGGGACAGGGAGACGCTGGGTGCCCTGCTCCGTCCCCCCATGGCTAGGACCCAGGAGTTGATGGGTTGTGCTCCTTCCTGGGAGCCTCCCTCAGCTCCTGGAGTCTGTTAGCCCACAGGCGGGAGCAGAAATCTCCCTCATGCTGCATTTCTGGCTCTGACCTCCAACCCAGATTGAAAGGGCTTATGTGGCTCGGTCAGGCCCTGCACATAATCTCCCTTCTAACTCACTCAGAGCCAGCTCATTAATCACCCTAACTTATTCTCAAATCCCTTCTGCCCAGGAACGGAGCCAGCCTAGTCCCACAGAGATGACCCATGGTAAGGCCAACACCCACAGTCCGAGGGAGGGCACGTCACAGAGCGCATCCCGCCGTGAGGACCCTGGGGGCTGGCTGCACATCCCACTGCTCCTGCACGGACTGAGCTGTTTCAGGGAGGAAGTTGCCCTTGCTGAGTCAAACGGGCCACATCCAGTTGGGTACAGGCTACAGGCTTTAGGAGCAAAAACTGAGTTTCCCAAAGAAAAAGGAATCCTGCTCCTAGCCTGTAACAAAGAAATTCTGCCTATGCTTCCAGCCTGCCAGTCCGCCCTCCAGATTTCAGGTTGGCCAACCCCACAGTTGTGTGCGCCAACTCCCTAAAACAAATCCCTCCAACCCTGTGTACGCGCATGCGTACTCCACCGGGTGTGCCTCTCTGCAAAGCCCTGGCCGTTTGGTATGTAAAATACTTACTTGGCCCAGAGTCAGTGGGGCCCAAGACCAGGACCACATTTCAGTGAAGTTAGCTGCAATTTACCAAGAGCTTGCATCCCCACAGGACTTGTGTGAGGCATTAGAGGAGCAGCTTCTTTGTCTTTTACCCATCATGGTCAAGTCTCATCTTCCTTCTACAGAGAAACAAGAGGCTCTAAAAAATTAAGTAATTTCCCAGGTTTGTATAGCTGTTAAGAGGCGGGAGCT